TTGCCTACTAGTTAGGAGTTTCAGTAGAGTTCATTTGAACTGTGTTTGCCGCGTTTTAGAAGTAATTTTAGAGGAGGCCATTGACATCTTCAGCAGCAACAAATAAAAAAGACTGGTTAAGCAAAAGTTTAATAGACTTAGGTAGCAGAACTGGAAGATTGATCAACTTGTTTGTACAAGCAGAACTGAGTAGGACTGAAGCAAAACCCCCTTAAGTGTTGCATAACCATTGAGTTTCTGTACTGTCCAGTTTGCATTTCATGCCAAGTTGTCATATGTATATGTAAAGCATTTTTTTCCTAAAATAGGAATCTGTTACCCTTATTCATTGTGCCCTGAAAACTACAACAGTGAGACAGTTGCTTAAACTACAAAGTTTAATTCAAATTTATTATAATTTTGAATTTTTGGTGTCGTTTTTTACATTTGACCTTATTACGGTGTTTTTCTTGATCTTAACAAATACAGTTTTAAAATTTGCTTCTTTTTCAATCTTTTTACAAATGCAAAAAAATTTACTGATTTTTAAGTTAAAGAGAAAGAAAGAAGCAAGTAGAAGAAAGTTTTTCAATTCTATTAACAATAATTTTACTGATAATCTGACGGGGTGCGGAGTTTTCAGAGCAGTACTGAACTGCATAATCGTTCGGGATGCTATGGAACCATCTGTTTATTGTTACATATTTTCTGTATAGTTCAACATTTTTCTATTCTGGACATCGTCTCTCAGCGATCACTTTAATTTATTTTAAGGTAGAATTAAGCTAAGCACTAATGAAAAGCTTCTAAAAACTTACAACCAAAATTCTTTTGCCGGGTGCAGTGAGCTTTTTTTCCTTTCTTTTTTTTTTTTTTCTCATCTTTACAGTTACTGAAGCAGTTTCTTTCTTCAGTGTTAACCGTATTGTGCTAATCTGTCATTTCTTGCTATCATTAAAGCAAAAAAAATAATTTTGAGTTGTTTAGAAGCCACAGTTACTTTTCCTCATCTTTTAATCAGTGCTGATCAGTTTATTTTGTAAGACAACGTTTTGATTTTTTGAAATTTTTTACTGGTTGTTGATTGAAATTGAAAGCATTTTTTTAGCCAGCTCTTTTATTACAAATTCAAATTATTTTAATATAAATTTCTTTTTTTGTAAAGTTATAAACGTTCCGCAACCTTTGTGGATAACATTGTTGAAGTGAACTGTTCTGACACTGACTTTAGAACTAATTTCTATCAACTTTTTTTCCCAGACTAATTGGAAGTGCCGAATAGACCTTTAATTTTCCCATTAATAACCTAAACAGCGTGTGCGCAAATTAGAGAACCATTTTTTAGAGTTGCGTGGTTTTATTTTTTGCATCCTTGGAACTGTGCTTCACGTAGATGATACCAACAGAAGTTCTAGCTTTTTATATTACACAATATAGTCGTTTTAGAAAGCTAACACCTGACATATTGCGGGAGGTATTATCCCTCGTAAGATAGGACAGTATTTGTAGATCTTAATCTAATACGTTTTTTTGACATTGATTTAGCGATTATATTAGTTATAATTACCAGTGGTTGCGATATGCTCATATAATTTTACTTTCATTTTTATTTTGCTGATTATCAGTAATGAAGCAATCGTAGAAGATTTGTGCTACCGACTGTACTAAAGCTACTCTAACAGCAGATTATTGCTTGCTTTTTACATTTATTTTGCTTATTTGCTATTCTTTATTAATTCATATCTGGATCTGTTTTTAGTGAACCAGTCACCGCAGCGTAGCTTACATCAAAATCCAAATGCAGGCAAAGAAGAAGACACATACTATGAGTTTACTGGCCTAAATAAACTTAACAAACAGGTTGGGTCTGTGCTGTCTTTTATGATTATATAATGTAACAAATAGTTTTTTGAAGAAACTATGCTCATTTTTGTTTAGAGATCACCGTCATATCCTAAATTGGCCACAAAGTCACAGTCTCCTTCAAACACTTCTGTACGCAGTCAAAAAGTTCGCAAAAATTCACCCTTTGTTAACCATCACGAATTTGCACCTCCGTTTCCAACCACTCAACCACCTACTTGCCCACCAGGTATTGTCTGCAAAACACTTTAGATTTGATTAATAACAAAAATTACAAAAGTGTTTCTTTTTTTGCTATTACACCATTTCAGGTTCCACCAATTCTTCACAAACTGGCGGATATTACTCGTCTGGGTCTTCTCTTGGTGCATCGTCGTCACATGCTTCTCATCGACAAAATTCTGTACCTCGAAAAATTGTACGCCAAGGATCAGTGGTTGGCAATCAGTCTTTATCCTCTCAGGCAATCAGTGTAGATGATGAAGATGACGGCTTTTATGACAATATTCAAGTATGTTAAACAATTTTCACTACTGCTCCTGTTCTTATTAACGATTTCGTCAAAGCATTGTCTTTCCCTTGTTAGGCGATCAGGTTTGCATCTGAAAGCAACAACCACGGTGCATTATCTTTAGGTCGATGAGAAGAGAATGTCCAGACTTACCGACGTGGATAATGCCTCAGTAAGCAGTAGGCTTCCGCCGACAGCTAAAGGTGCAACGCGTATTACGCAGTTCCTCAAAAAAATTGGAGCCTCAAAACCTCCCGGAAGTGCTGCATCGTTAGTATCTCTGAACAAGGTGATTCATTTTGCACTGCTGTGATTACATTGAAAAAAGTTAAAATTATTGCCAGGTAAGACGGTAGTGTAACCGCCGTTTGAAACAATTCAATAATTTCTTGTCTTTATCTGTGCATACTGAAACTTTCTGAACTTTCAACAATGGCTTTGAGGCCGTTTTTTGAAAACATCAAGAGTAACTCTGTTTATACTTTGATTTACTGAACCATTAGGCTAACCCTTTACTCTTTTCGTCTTGTCAGATTATCAAGCTAACCTTAGTTTCCTGTGATTAATTCTGTAGCTTATTACACATAGACCTCACTTAAGATTTGGTTTACTTTCCAAATGTTTATGAAGTTGTTTTGTAGTCCTTTGTCATCAGGAATTAAATTTGTTTATCAACTTTATTTATGTCTAACTATGTTAAACATAGTGTTCTAAAGGATCTTGACATTCTTGCTGCTCAATTTTTCACTTTTCAGGTGACAAACGATAAAGTTTCGCACAATAATACGTTAATAAAAAGCAACAGTCTTAGTAACGAGCCATGGAAAGAGCAAATTATAAATGGCGGCGATAATCTTAAGCAAAGTCAGTTTATTTTAAAATACTTTTTTTAACGTTATTCTCTACATCTGTTACTGCGGAGAAAAAAAACTATTCCACAGTGTCTCTTAATTTGCTGGCTAATTAGCAGTCAATTTTTCAGACTCAAAAAAGACGGGTATTGGCCAGATGATAAAACAATCTCTATTTGGAAGTAAAAAGAAATTAAACTAATCTATACTGTTCGTGTCGCTTGCTATTTGTTGTTGGTTCCATAAATCCCGAAAATTTGTAGTTTTTTTTGCTCTGCATTTGGCGCAAAATTGTTTAGAAAAAATGCAAATAGTTAACACTGAAAAGCTAGACGAGTTACAACAGTTTTATTTTTCTGTTGATTATTATCGTTGAAACAGAAAGAGAAAAAAAGGATTTGCATTTGTATCATTTGTCTGTATTGACTGTATTGCAAAAAATAATTGCTCAACTCAGAAAACAGAAGTTTAGAATGTTTGATTGTGGTTATTCAAAGCCTTCAGTTTCTTGTGTAAGCAGTTCAGTGTAACAAAGAAGAAAAGGCAAAAGGTTCTTCTTCGTTTACAGTAGAATAATGTTGTAGCTAAAAATAGTCTTCGATTCCTGTGAAATTTTTTTTTTTTTGCTGCAGTGATTTGACTGACTCATTGTGATATTTTTACTTTTCCCTCTTTTTGTCCTTTTTTTTCTTGTTGTTTTTCAGTTTCAGATACGTATCAAGAAGAGAAAGAGTATTGTTCTAATCATAACGTTTGTTTTGTTAAGCAAATAAAAAAGAACGATTGTTGGCAACAATTAAAATATATAAATAACTTCTGACAAACAGCAATTGGATTCTGTAACATTCACAGAGCAGCATAACAGACTGATATCGTATATCGGGTTCTATAAAACAATGGAAAACCAGGATAACAATAATTGGTGGTAGTAATCATCAGCTATTTTGAAGAAAAAAATAATGGTGGTGTTAACGGCGATGAATAAAGCACTTATCTGCATCAAATAATTCATTTACAATATCCTAAAAAAATATAATCCGAAAATCAATATGTTCAACAAGAAATACTTTCAGTTCAAAACACAGTCCAGTTTTGTCTCGCAAATCTTTAAGATGCCTTCAAGCCGTACTAAATACTCAAGATTTGGAAATGAAATGAACCATGGTTTCAGAATAGTCGGACCGGTGTCAAATATTTTTAATACAATCGGGTACTGGAAGAAGTTTGGAACGGAAATGACCGTAGAAAAGTAGGATTTTGAGTGGCTTAAATTTGATGGTTAAGGATAACAGCAGTTTAAAGTAATGGTGTTACACTTCTGCACATTAATCGCCATAATCCTGTAAAACTGACTCAGATTACCAAGATCAAACTTCAGCAAGTGTGAAAACAGAGAGAACGTAAGAAATGAAGTACAAGATAGAATGAAGTTTGTTTTCGGCACCAAGGAATATTTAGCTATCCGCAGATGAGTTTTCGCAGAAGTCCTTTGGGTGGGAGGCAGTCCGCTTACGGTTATCTTACAAGAGAAGATGAGGAAAACAGAACAGAATATGTTTTTAAACTTCACACATAAGTTTGTCTACAAAGCGGTAATAGACTCATGAAAAACAATCAGCTCTTAAAAACTTTTCTAGACCTGCAGATGTCATTCGAATCGGTCAACTTCTAGTCGAATGTGTCAGATCAGCATGACCAACTAACTGTAAGCGGACAAAAACGTTGCTGTTGCCATTTTATAAGGTAAAGTGTTTACGTGAATAAATGCTTATTTTTATTCTATTTTTCAGTAGGTCGATTGTACAATCATATTGCCCTCGAAAAACAAGAAAGTTATTGTAAATTATTCAGTTCTTTAAAATAAATACCTTTAAGAAATTTGTATGAATTTGTAACGGCTTTCCTTTGAAGTAATTTAAGAAATATTTCTCCGTAACTGTAAATTTGTTCGTGGTGGTGAATCGTTAGATTGCAACTCTTCTACATCTATCTTTCCCCAAAAAGATGAATAATTCCTGTAACTTTTTAATCAACTCTTCCTCCCAGTTGTTGCAATCTGATTTAAGCCTGACAAAATTTATTCACAATGAAGTGATGATGTAATTTGTTTCTGAAATTTCCAGCTATTCTATTAGAATTTTTTCAAACTTCTATATTTTAAATGCCCTGTTACGTTACTATCTACTGTTTTTTCTATTGACTAAGAAAGATTAATTAACACTGCTTCTTCTGGTCACACAAACCACTCCCCTTATAGAAGAGGATTGCACAAAAGTTTGTGTATTTATTGTCTCTATTAGGCTAACCTGTATCAGGTGTTTTTATTTTCGAGGAAGGTAAGGCTACACAACTTATTCAACTTTGTAAAAGTAAATTTTTTTTCGGCTCAAATCAGTTTCAGTTTATTCCAAATTTTTTTACCCTCTTTCAGCTGCTTTTATGGTTTAGCCATTCAAAAGTGCTATAAACATGAAAAACTAAACTATCCTTTCTTTTCTTGAAATTGTCTAACAGACATTTGTACGACAACCCCTTAAGTTTTTATGAGAGCACTAGAGATCAGGCGCTGTTTCTTATCACTGATAAAATGTTTTCTTATACCCAACAATTCCGATTGATTGTAGTAGCATTCTATTGATGATACTCTTCAAGTCCACTCTTTGAGAAATTCAATGTTTGAAAGTTACACTCCGGAATTGCCCACTACAACTAAACACAGTTTACTACCTACTTATTTGTACATGTGTTTATAAAAACTTTTGCTTGCCTCATCTTTACAGTGTCCTCTACTGAATTCTGAATCATTTAACTCTTGCATGATTATGTGAGGTCAAAACATGAGCAATTAAGCTGCTTGTATAATTGACTAAAAAATCTCATCTTGAAACTTTAAGCAAACCATTCCTCAATTTTTTTTGTAATAACAATCTCTAATGCGTAAAGTTTATACATGAATCAGTTTTGGCAAATTTGGAAGTAAACATTCAAAATTATTGCTGTTAGTTAGGACTGAAAGACATTTAAGACGAACAAATTATTAAAACTTGATAAACTGTATAAGTTTTTTTTTAATTGTGTAGTACATGTTCATAGTAAATATTATACTGTTGTGCTTATATTGTTCTATATCTCCACATTACAGGAATAAGTTGTCAGAGTACAAAGACGGTTGCTGAAGAGATCCCACTCTGTGCATTTTAAAGAAACTGTTCTTAAATTTAAGAGATGGAGTTAACGGACTTTGATTTTTTGAATCTCCGCCTTACTGAACCAAATGCAAACCGGTCACATGGATTCATCCAACATTTGATTGATATCACGATAGATCAGTATCTACTTGGCTTGCTACACCTCTACAGTGCCAGATCGCACCGCTTACTACTGCCTGTCTTTTCTTCATTAGAATCAAAGAGGGGTTTCCTCGCTACCGAGTTTTTAAACTTTGTTAAAGAAAATCGTCTGCGCTACCAAAAGTGAGTACTTAAAAGGTAGTTCTATCAATGTAAGTTGACCATCAGTTTTTCCATTGTTTGAAGATTATCGGTCTCTCAACGCTTCGTTCCTTTCGTTCTACTTTACTTCAGGTTATTTTTGTTAATCTAATGATCTCGGCTCCCGTTTAGCTCAATTTTACCTTCGTCTCTGTTTGGCTGCCCAGGAAAAGCAATTTATCTCTAGAAACGATTTCGTCGTCTTGAATAGTCAGCTCATAATTCTTTTTCGGAATCCAAGAAAAGTTCCTTTACATTGTGTTACTCCCTACACTTCTTATGTTCCAAATGCAGCTCCGACGCGCCACTTTGCCTTGCGGAAAAACCCTTAAATCGCTCACTTGACTTTGAACTCCAGACCTGCCGTCTTCCTTCGTTTTTT